TCGCTATGTGCGGAGGGTGCATTTAAAATTATTTTCGAATAGCAGGAATCTTGGGAATTCAAAATTATAACCTCAAGTCTCACATAACATGAGCCATTTCTGTTATTATAAGCCCATAAAACAGTCGAATGATGACAACGGAAGAAGGTGAGAACCCGCAAAAGATTGCGTCGATCGGCAACAGGTCGCGAGCCAATAAAAGCTGCAGCCTCCATGCACCACACACCACACGGTTGAAGTCTGCTGACTTTCCAACCCCAGCCACCACTGATGTCACGCACTCTCCTTGTCTCACAAAGAGTATCATTCCGCTTCCCAAGTCAAATATATATGTGCCCTGCAATGTTGTTGTCATTCCCAAGCTAAGCGTACTGCACCTAGACAGCAGATCAAGAGCGAACGTATACATGGCATCTTGCAATGCGAATGTTCCAGAGATGGCAGCTGGTTTTCATCCGACTGTATGGGGTGACTTCTTCATCAACTACATACCACAGCCATCACAGGCATGCCTATATTACAGCTAGCAGAGTAGCAGTGATGCAAAATATTGTTGCTTCTTTCTTTATGTTTCTTCCAATTTATGTTTTTTTAGGATCTGTTTGAACATGGCATTTTCATGTCTGAACAATGAGCATGATGACCTGTAAATACCTAAACATTGCAGCATTTCCACGGACCACGGGTTCCTTTTCCATTGTTTCTTAGCTTTTCGCAACATGCAACCACATGCATGCTTACATAAGTTTCCTTACTGCTTATAGGATCCCCACAATAATGGTATTTCTCTATGAATGTAGAAGTCGGAGGAATGGACAACAGAGAGGGTGAACCAACTAAAAGAGAAAATAAGTGGGCTATTTGAAGCTTGCACAACTACAACTACAGTTGAGCAACTCAACTTAGTGGACACGCTCCAACATCTAAGTATAGACCATCATTTCAACAACCAGATTAACTCCGTTTTGACTAGCATCCATGGTGCCGAATTCAACAGCGCTTGTCTCCATGATGTTGCCCTTCGATTCCGCCTACTGAGGCAGCAAGGGTTTTGGGTATCTCCAGGTATACAAAATGAAAAGGCAACGCTCTCCTTGATATATAGCCATGTGGACTTTTGTATACATGCTTCCTGTTTTTCTGCCAAATGATTGTCAATCTTTGGCAATTTTATTAGACATAGACAACGTGTGCCTGCTTATAGTTCTGAAACACATAGCAATTCATAGCACAGAAATTTTGTGTGCACAACAATAAAATATACATGCAGAGACAGGATCACCCAATGCTAATAAGCTCATACGTACGCTGCATTACTTACATATATATAATATGATTGTTCGATCTTGCAGATGAATTTAACAGGTTCAAAGACGGAAATGGGAACTTTGATGTTGGCATAACAAATGATGCAAGGGGACTACTAAGTTTATACAATGCAGCTTACCTTTTCACTCATGGAGAGGCAGAACTTGAGGAGGCTATTTTATTTGCCAGGCAACATCTTGAATCGATGAGAAATAACCTTGAATACCCGTTAGCTCAGCAAGTGAACCGAGCCCTTCACCTACCGCTGCCACGGACCTTCAGAAGAGTTGAGGCTCTGCATTATATCTCAGAGTACAAAGGAAGTCCAACACATATCCCCTCCCTTCTGGAGTTTGCACAGCTGGATTTTGACCTTTTGCAACGTCTCCACTTGAAGGAGCTCAAGGCTCTTTCTAGGTATAATCAGTATCTGGCTATCCGCATCATGAAAAGACATGAGAAGTCTTAACGATATATTTTGGGTCTTAACAATAATCTCCTCAACCTTAATTTGGCTACTGAAACCTCTAAGTAGTGTCAAACTTCAAACATAACTAGGCTTGGCTTCTCAAACCATCAAAAGTGTATGCACGGTAGGTATTAGTTTCAAACTGTGTCCTAGTGGACATCCATAATGATGTATTAATCTTCCAAATTAAAACCTTGCTTGTAGGGTATAAATTTGATATAGCTGTCCTAAGCATAATTGGAAAGAGATTATAGTATGTATAAACTACTTGAATAAGCATCATTATATAATTGTATGAGATTACCTCCCAAAAAGAAGTTACGACCTTATAGCTTAAGATACCTACAATCTAGCACTTCTAAACTCTAATGATGTTTAGTTTTATCTGCTAAACCAGAAAAGGGCGGATGGTTTTGCAGAAGAATCTTTATATTTTCATCTAAAATTTGAAATAATATTTTGAATTTTTGAAACAATTTTTTTCATAAAACAAACCTCCTGTTCTTTAATTTATTCGTAACACAGTTAACAACCTAAGTTAATCTCAGATGGTGGAAAGATCTTTACAATGAAGGGGAATTGACCTACTCACGGGATCGTGTGGTTGAGTGCTACCTGTGGTCTTATACAGCATACTTTGAGAAAGAACACACAAGGGCAAGGATGATCCTTGCCAAGATAATCGCACTAATAATCCTGACAGACGACACTTACGATGTTCGTGCTACTTTGGAGGAGTGTCGAAAATTCAATGAAGCTATACAAAGGTTGGAGTGCCCCAATTTAATCTTACTAATTTGATCTAGGAAATCTTTAGTTCATATAGTATTTGCACTCAAAGCTGTAACCAGATAACTTTCCTACAGATGGGAAGAGAGTGCCATTTCTCTTCTACCAGATTATCTGAAGAAGTTCTACCTCAAGCTGATGAACATCTTTAAGGAGTTTGAGGACGAGTTGGAACCACATGAGAAGTACAGAGTCTCTTTTAGCAGAAAAGCGGTACAAGCACAACCCCCCTTTTTTTGGAAAATCTTATTTTCCTCATAACATGAGTGAGCTTGGTCTTTGAAGTTTTGGTGATAAATCTTGTCTGAATTATTTGAAGTTTTTGCAAATGGTTATATCTGAGCCAAGAGAATTATATACTAGATATGTATGATGTATGAATCCTCCTATGTTTAATTATAGAACTATATATTTCAAGATGAGGTGCTGATTAGGATAAGAAACTCACTACCGATATTTATGTGCTACCAGTTAATTATTTCTGTTATGCATATATATGAAATCCACTCTTATATAGGCAATATTGTAATGGTACACCTATCATATATATATATATATATATATATATATATATATATATATATATATATATATATATATATATATATATATATATATCTGCATTCATACAGTGACCTCATATGTTAATTATCAAGCTGATGACCTTATACTTTTATATTTTTCATCTCCAGTTTCAAATATTATCAAGTAATTATCTCCAAGAAGCGGAATGGTTTCATGGTGGTTACAAGCCAACATTTAAAGATCAAGTGAAGATATCTACTGTGTGCTCAGGTGCTCCATTTGCATCTGTTGGGTTACTAGTTGGCATGGGAGACGATGTAGCAACCAAGGAGGCACTTGAGTGGGCAATCAGTTGCACAGATGCTGTCAAGGCTTTCGCAGAGGTGACACGCTTCATGAATGACCTTGCTTCGTTTAAGGTAAGATTAATTATAGTACATGTATATTCCCAATCAAGGTTAAAGATCATAAGTGTTACCTAGTAATGGATGTGTTTTCCACAGCGTGGAAAGAACAAAAATGACGTGGACAGCTCGGTCGAATGCTACGTCAGTGAGCATGGTGTTACAACTGAGGTTGCCTTTGCAAAGATAAATTCCCTGATTGAAGATGCATGGAAGACTATAAACAGAGCACGCTTTGAGAACAATGAGCTACTTCCAGCAGTGCAACGAGTTGCCAACATAACTGCCAGCATGCCGTTAATGTACGGTGATAACAAGGACGCATTCACATTCAGCGACGGTCTCAAGGGGATTATCAAGCGCCTGTTTCTCAAGCCTATCCTGCTCTAGACAATATAGCCTACTGCCTATGTTATGAATGTACTAGTAAGCACCAGAATAAGCAGTTTACGTTATGAATGTCACACTAAAATTATTACTATTAGCAGGTTCGAGTCATTTCAATCTTGTTCTAAGTTTTTGGGGCTCTCTGAAAGGAAAAGGCATGTGTAAACGTTTTTATTTTAATAAAAAGTTTCTTTTGGTATCCTTGTCCAGTTATATGGTGCCAATTTTTTTATACCGGGGACCCTATAGAAAAACCCTCTTTGATGGTTCTTGTTTATTTCTCTGCATCCATCTAGAGAGCATCTTCAACGGTTTTTCGTAAGCCCACACTCTAAATTCTCAGTTTGAGAGCCATTTTAATAGAAGTAGCACTTTATATCTCTTCACCGCCCTACTTCTCTATATCTTATTCGACACTTTGAAAAGTTAGCCCTGTTCTCTATATTTGGCGAGCAAGAAACTAGAAATAAATTGTGACAATATTTAAAGATCTAACTGAACGATGTCGGAGAAGATTTTCTTTTTACCAAAATCTCTGTTCTTATCAATGATGAAAGATATAAAGAAACTCTTAAAGTTGCTCTACTATACCTGAGTTATACATGAAGGCGCCGTATAGCCGGGATAGCGCATATCTCGAGTTGTAGTTGTAATCTAGAATAAGTCGCAACAACAACCTCCTAGGATTTCTCAACCTTGTAAAGCCATAGTGGATTGCTATTGTTACCTATATCCTCTGATTTCTCACAAAACTAGGGAGACAATAAACACTTTCCCATTAGATCGCGACTTGAGGTAGCCAGAGATGGCTTATCTTTTTTAAATAGATTGACAGGTATAGTGAATACCAAATAGTAAAACAAAGTGGATTGTTCGGAGTAGTAAAACACACCTTTTATTTTTCTAATTCCATAGTCCTCCAGCACCTTCTCACTACAACAAAAAATTCTATTCGTGTCCGAGAACGACATCCTGAACAAGCCATTCTCAACTTCTAATTTGTGTCAATTTTGGTTGTCAACATAAAGCATTTTGCTTAACAAGCCATAAAACGAGTTTCATCTCTAGTCTGAATATCACGAGGTGTGCTGAAAGAGTAGTTCCCTAATAATCAGAGTCTAGTCATCGTTAGTCTGAATATCATGTGATCTCAGATGCTTATACTTCTGATCTGCATTTGACAATCTTGCCGCCTCTGTCAAACCCCTGGTGGCCACCATCTTCAGAATATCGACACCCTCTCTTATGGCTGAATCAATCTAGGTTGTAGCAAAACATGCAATCATGATAAGCTTTGGTTGTTGGTACATCAAATAAAGATAATATAACTTGTCCCAGTATGGGACTTAAATTGTGGTCCATCAATATTGTTGCGATACAATGATAATAAATTCTGATCTCATGTTTGTGACAATTGCATTAGTAGAATGAGTCCATGATCATCACTTGTAAAAGCTCAGCAGTATGACTGAGGCTTTTTTATTATTATTCCCAACCTTCCATGCTTGGCAAGCTGCGTCCATCTTCAACTAAATCTTTCCATGACATGGTAGCATTAACTTGGACAGAAAGGAAACTCAAGGCCCACAGTTTTCAAGAGGTTGGCTCAGATTTAGCTCAAGCCCAACTCTCTAAATGCCAATCTCAACCTTTGATTTTAACTTTGACACCAAATTCAACCTGACTACAAGGCTAAATCGATCTTCTCAACACAAAATCAAACAAGCATCACCATATTCCATATACTGTGGTTGCTTCCTTTGAAACTATTCAGGAATGTGCAACCAGACTGCTGGTAAGAAACAGCACCCACCAAATTAAAAAGTTTTCCAGTATCAATCCTCCTATCGCAGAAAGCATTGTGAAAGTTACCCAAGGTTTTGGTGAAGTTTATACCAAAACTAAAAGCTTGCAGCATGCTTACATATACATACAAGTTTGCTGGAATAGTGGAATCAATATTGTATGGTCATATCTGTCAGAGAAATTTCGAAATTTTCTATTACTGGGTCCAGATAAAAGATTAACAATACAACTAATGTGGTAATGTGAATCTTACCTAGCTCATTAATAGCTACAGCAGAGTTCAGATAATATTAAAACAAATACCATAACATGAAACAATAACAACAGAAGCACAAATTACTAGTGAGATGTTTACCCGTTCACGACCAGTCCTATTGAACTTCTGAAGAACAAAGGCTTTAGGATCCATCTGGCCAGGTGGCCGTCCAATTCCTAAATAAGTCAAGATGAATTCTTGTCCAGCAAAATTAAACAAATTCTAAATGGCGAGTGTAGAAAGTACCAATCCTTAATCGGCAAAATTCTCGATTCTTACGAAAGTGGTATATTACACTCTTCAACCTGGTAAACTAAAAGGGTAAATGTTTATTGTCAAGATCAGATAAATCTTTTATCTGTCAACATCCAATAGATATCATATAGCTAATGGTTTATTTTCATACCAACCAAAGAAAATTTGACACAAGGTAATGTGCTGTTACACAGATTAAGAGTGTTATAAAGTAATGGATAGCCTTTTCAGATAACTAATTAGATGCCCCCCAAGTTATGCAAAATGGAAAGTGCAAGCAAGAAAAACAAACTAAAAAAAGAAACATAAAAAATGAAAGGAAAAGGAGAGCAAGACAGATGTGTGAACACCACACTGATAGAAAAAAAAGGGAAATAGCTACAGAACTTCAAAAAGATTCTTTTAGTGTCTCCTAAAGGCATGCCAACAACCCAGATTAGGGGACTAAGACAATGGCCAAGTTTGTGATGATAAAGTGATTACCATTGCTGGTATATGCATTTAAACATAGAGATAGATGTTTTTCCTTTCGAAATATAAACTTCTTTTGTTAGGTGGAAGATGATCCCACAAAACAAACAAAAATAAAGCCTACATACCCATTATGCCGTCCAAAACCTCCTTTTGGCTGTAAACGGAGAACTCCACATGGCAAGTCCATATCATCAAACGCCTGAAACTCACATACCAGAGAAGTCATATTGCCTTGTAACATGGCTCTAGCAAAGTTTAGAAACAAACACCTACCACTAGGACACGATTAAGTGGCAGTTTATAATAGGCAGCAAGTGGACCAACCTGCAAGTGAAAACAGAGACTGGTCACTAGTAGTCATCAAACAAGAATTGTGTAAACAATTTTGTATGTCCAGTTAAAGACAGTAAGACATACATAATAAAAAACCCATAATGCATCAAGATTACTATCATTAAACAGAATTAGCATGGTTAAGTTTACATGTTGTGCAATGGTACCTCAAATTCAAGAGGTAGCAGGTGAAACATCTGTTAGTATTTAGTTGCATCAACCAAATTAAAGCCCATATCACAGAAAATCAGTGAAAGAAACAAAGTATGCAAGAATAGAACAGTATTAGGCAGGAGAAGTAGGAAACACGCCCAGAAGTGTCGCTTACAGATTCTCCACTGAGATTCATATAAGTCTGGGGCTTGGCAAGAAGAACAGGGACTCCATCAACCATCCCTGAATCAATGGTGAGGACAACACATTAATTTAACCCTTTGTGCTAAGAAACAAAAACATGCATCACAAAATATGAGGAGTGATATTCTTTCTCAGGGTGCGTAAATGGCGCCAAACCTTCACCAAAGAGTGCTTTGAAGTAATGTGTAGTCAGGGGTATACCCTGGGATTGCGCAAATGCATCTATCATATCAAAACCCACCTGTGAGCAAACAAATTGCAAGAAAAATACAAGAATAAATACCAAGACATTGAGAAATTTTGAAATACAAGATGAGATGTGCAACTTACGTTATGCCTGGTGGATTGATACTTCTCACCAGGGTTGCCAAGACCGACAAATAACCAGGGTTGTATCGGGGACAAGGACGAGGAAAAAGATGAATATGATGAGGATGTCTGAACGGTAGAAGTACAACATTTTGAAAGGAAGGGCATGAATCTATTCCAGGGCATCTCCTTCATGGTTTATTCAATCAGAGCCATCCAGAAATCTAATGAGTCCAAAATCAGATGTCAATGTCTGCAAAGTAAGACAGATTTGTTCTTGAAATACACCACAGTGAACCAGACAGGAACATAAAAATATGAATTGAACACCTAGCACGTCCAACACTGCCTTATACTTATACATGCCAGAACAAGATCGCATAAAAACTTGCAGTGCAGCAGAAGATCAGAGATTCAAAACTGAATGTGGCATATAATCTAGCTTAGGTATTTCATTGAACACCTCCAGGGCACTTGACACGGTAGTGCTGCACTGCTGCTCTCATCTTCTAGATTCATACAAGCGCTTGCAATCACGAAACGCTTAAACTTTACATGCTAGAGCAGAGGCAGTACGAGCCTCATGACATGCTCGCTAGAACGAGAACGAGGTAGCAATAAAACAGAGCCTTGTGATAATGCATTAAGACAAGACCAAGAAAGAAAACAGGCCACAAACATGGAGTGCATTTTTGGACTCTAACCACTTGACAGACACTGGCGAAGCAAGGATTTTGGAATTGGGTATTCCCATTTTGCAAGAACAAAAGAACTCCAAACCAAAGTACATAAAAGTCCACCATACTAATAATATTGTACAAATCTAAGATATCGATGAAATTAAGGCAAATTACATAATCCATAAAAAAAGGAAAATTACTATTTAATTTTGTGCTCCTTCATGGCTTGAAAGCAGTTGATGATATCACTATACTTAGAAATTAGAACCAATTGATTCCTTCTCCATTTTGCAAAGCACTACGATCTTCGGGAACAATATACACTGAGTCACTAACTAAATACCAGTATGAACCATACTACAAATTCAGAAATAGTCAAATAGGAATTAGGAAAGGAAAATTCAATCAGTCCTTACCCCTTGGCTTTGTGCACTGCTGGGCTGCTGCCGTGCTCGCCGGACTGCCTTCCCCTGACCTCCTATGCTGCAGCGTGTAGTTGGTGTTGGCTGCGGCAGCGCGGCCCCGGAAGTCGCACAGGCGTACCGCTGATAGGCCACAGGGGCGCCACCGCACGCCCACGTAGCTACCTAGAATTTCGCCAGAAACGTCACTCACCGTTAGGCCCAGTTTGGCAGCGCTTCCAACCGCTCCCGTAGCTCCGACTCCACTCGCTCCCCCAAGACCGCGATTAAAGCGTTTGTTAGGGCTCCTCGTTGGTTCCAGCCAGGTCGGCACGGAGTAGACGACGCGGCGGAGAGGACCGCAGGTGGCAGGCAGTGAAGAGGGCGCGGGGAGAGGAGCGCGGCGGATGGGAGCAAGAGTGGCGGCGCGGGAAGAAGGGGCGCGGCGGATGGGGCGGCGCGGCGCGGCGTGGCGCGGGGATAGGGGCCGTGCGTAGCAGCGGAGAGGGCCGCGGTTCTGGGCCGCTCGGCCTGTGGCCTGTCGGTGCGTGATTCTGGGCTTGTGTCATGGACTCTCAGCTGTGGGCTATAGCCAGTGGCCAGTGGGCCGGCCTAGGGCTGGGACTCACTGTAACTGTGGGCTGTGGTCTGGGCATTGTGGATTGCGCGGTGCTGTCGGCAGCTCATGAGGCATCGAGCGCTTTGTACCGTCCTTTGGGCCATGGTGCAGTATGGCGGATCACAATGGTGGCGATGGAGTTTCAGAAAGAGAAAATAGCGGTGATTGACAAGAGTTTTTGTTTGGGGCGTGGCTAGTGTCTGAAATCTGGATCATCCGGATGGACGCGCGTGTCCGGACATCCATGCAGCCCGTGCCAGTCCATCGTAGATCCATCCTTATCCGGTTTCGTCCCATCCCACGCGCACACCATCCTTATCTGGTTTCGTCCCATCCCACGCGAACACTCTACCCCCGTATTTGCGTCCGCCAATCATTATCTAGACACGCTCCTCTCTCTCCACGGGGCAGCACTCCAGAGACGAGACTCGGCGCGCCCGATCGGAGCACCCGTCCGTCCACCCCAAGTGCCCCCGTCTGCAACCCCCCCTAGCGTGCCGCTCGGACCGTCCACTTGCCCCCCTGCTCCATCCCCAGCTGAACAACATAAAACACTTGCAACATAAAAAAACATTTGAATGCAACATACATCTGAAAAACAAATAAAATATTTAGAACATGTACTTGCAACATGTGTGTGGAACACATGAAACATCCAAAATATAACACTTACAACTTGCAACATGAAAGCATTTGTTGCAACATAAGACTGAAACAGCTAAAACATTTTGTAATATTCTGTTGCAACATATGTGTGAAACATATGCAACATCAAATCAAAAACAATTGCAACAGAGTTCGGAAAACAGATGGAACATTTTTGTACAAACGCTTGCAACATGCATATGAAACACTTGCAACATATGCAACATGTGCAACACCCCGATCTACTTTTGCAAGGGGGTTGGGATTTCGGAGAGGGCGCATCTCTGGCTCGCCGCCGGCTGCTTGCAGCCCGGCCGCCGGTCGCTGTTCGACACTCGCCGTCGCCGTCGCTGTCGCCATCGTCGTCGCCGTCGCCGCCAAGTCTCTAGTTGAAGTGGAAGTGCGGGAGTCGAGATGCGGCACCATTCTACCGTGAGTGTGCGGGGAAGAAGGGAGGTCACGCGTGGGAGAGTGGAAGCTGGGAGGTAGGTTGGGCCATTTTCATTTCATGGGCCGTATCCAAATCGGCCCTTACGTATCTGATACTCGTATCCAGGCTAGTACGTATCCAGATTTTCTAGTACGGCCTGGATACGTATCCGCGGCGTACCCAAGCCATATCCGTATCCAAAACATGTCGGATACGCGATATGGACCCCCTGGAGTATCCACGCATCGTAGGCGCTCACGGCGGGGCGAGCGAGCGGCGTCGGATGGGGCACGCGGTAGCAGCGAGGCAGAGTGGCATCCACGTTCTCGGGACAGGACGGACGGAGCGGCAGCCGCAAGGCACTGTGGTGGAGAGGAGGGAGTGGAAGGGATAAGAAGGTTTTTTCTTCTTTTTTAAACGGTTTGGGGCGAGGGCGAATGGATGAGTGGTTGTTCGGCTATGTCGCGGCCCACCATTGGCACCGTCCGGGCAGACGGACACCCTATACCCAGCATTACCATTTTGTTTGTGCCCACTAGAAAGCATTAGGGAAGAGATGATAGTCTGGTAGCAACTCTCCCCTCTTGCTCTCTCTACTGATTATAAGAATTAGCAACCAGCAACATGTGATTCATACGACTAACCCTCTGTTTGGATCCGACCAGATTTTTTCAACACAATTGGCAGGTGCGCTGCCTTTTCATTTATTTAGGAAGCAAAGTTTGGTTATTTACAAATGGTTGAGAGAACAGTAAAATAAAGAAAAAACTACATAATATAGTGACTAGCTACCAGTACTCTTCTTGCGCTAGCTGCAGCATATATGCACATCATTGGCAATATGTCCGAATTTTTTATTTTTTAGCCTTTTTTTTGAAAATTTTTCACAAATATGTCCTTGGAGGTATAATTTCAAAATCTGGACCCTTAGCTCGGCGTCAGTGTTACTGGCGCCAAGCTTACACATCTCGGCGCCATCGTTGATGGCGCCGAGGTCTTGGGCTCGACGCAGACGTGACGGTGACTTGGCAGGCAGCTCGGCGCCGTAGATCCAGGCGTCGAGCTTGGCGCCGTAGATCCTGGCGCCAGGATCTATGGCGTCGAGGTGGTGTTTTAACCCAGCCCCCAACCTTCCTGCCAGAGCCTTTTTCCTCTTCTTTCTCCTCCCTCTCGGGTTTTTTCTCTCCCCACTTCGCCCTACCTCACGAATCGGCATATTGGACCTTGGAAACTTTGATTTGATCCGTAGATCTTCGAGAGCAAGGTATCCTTGCTCCCCTCCTAGTTTTTTTGCATCAATTCGGTATATATTAGTCAGATTTTTCAACCTAAGAATCGTCATTACTTAGGGTTTCATGCAATTTTTAATATTTGTATTATACAACCGTAGGATGCCAAGGCGTGGAAAAACTAGTAAACCAAGGTAACCTCAGCACATGTTATTATATTATGGGTTCATTGTTGTGCATCAAATGGGAAACCCTAGGTTTAGGGTTTAATGTTAATTACTTTTGGTTCTTAGAACTAAATTGTTTGAATTGTAGTTATGGTCGGATAACCGGAAATGCCTGACCCATTGCCTCTGCCTAGTGGTGTTCCAGTGCCCATGTGCTTTTACGATGATCCTTGCAAGGTAGCCAAGTTTGATGAAGAAGACACGTATAGGCAGAGGTATTGGATGTGTTCCAATTTTGAGTTTGAGCATACACTTCGTCAGCACCGCATTAACAAGATGGTGAGGAATTGATGTTTGTGTCATGTGACATCTTACATGATTTTTTGTTTTGTAACAATTGCATTTATTGCAGATCCCTCCACCGCTCTATGATTTTGAGCAGTGGATCGATACTGAGATCAAGCCTGAAGACAAGGAATGGATGCGAAACTATTACGGTGGGAGGTAGAGGACAAAGAGATGATGGAGAAGAGACGCGGAGAGGAGGCTGCAAAAAAGGTGCACAAGGAAGAGGAGGAATGGAGGCGTGTTGCTACGTACAGGGAGGAGAGGGAGAAGAAGCTTGAGCGTGCACGCCGAGCGAAAGCAGCGATGGAGGAGAATCCCGATGCCCTGAGAAAGGAAAAGTGGCCTCGTTGCACTCAGTAGTCTCCATGACTTGCTAGTTCTATGGTTTATTCATGAACAATGTTGTCTACTATCGACACGTACTTTTAGTATTATTGTGTTGTTTAATGTGGTATAGTATTGGACTTTTCATTATATAGTTGTTTTTTATTATTTGTGGTCATAGTATTCAGTATAATGTTGCGGACGTAGTGAAATGTGATCACATGCCGCAAAGACAACCTAACAAAATAGGGCATTATATAATTCAACACACAAAACACATGAAATGGCATGTGAGAACATGTACCAAACTAGGGTACAGAGTTCCTTCGACTAAACCTAACATGCCTTAATT